ATCTTCATCCATTTCCAGTGGAGGGACACAGTGAATATCTAATTGTGTTGATGTTTTTTGTTTCTGTCCCTTTTACATATTACTGAATTATCCAGATATTTACTGGATGTGGACAAAAGGTTCTCATTCAGAAATCTGGCAAGCCTAAGAGACTGAACCACAAACAAAGCGATATATAGGTCTAAGTTAAAAAAAACCTGGAAAAATGCCCTAGCTTTCCATTTCTAAAATCCTCCTTTGTTTCATTCGCTCTGCTTTTTTACTGTTGGAAGTTCATGACCTGTCAATCAACCAAGTATTAAGAGTAACTATTAACTAGTTAATAGAGTAGCCTATTTGTGTGAGAGACACGTCCAGTTCTTGGCATAGAATTTAGCCTTTGTCTCCCTTTAAACCCACTGATTTCTCTCAGATCGTTTTAATCTGGAAAGAATAGCCTACTATCAAGTCAAGTCATTTAACCATTGATGGAGTGTCTGCTTCTCTGATTTTAAATTTGTGATCTGTGGAGGAATAATTGTCTGATTCAGACATTAACATGAGAGGAAGGCTTTGCCCAGTGAATCATTAATGTGGAGTGCATTTTAGATGCAGAAGTCAGTACAGACAAGCCAAAGCAATGGTCTGGGAGCAATCTCTTGTGGTAGGGTCTCCCTAGAAGATCCTGCTGTCAGGTGCAGGGGGCTCTTGGAGCTCCCCACTTTTCCTATGGGATATGCAGAGTGAAATTCTGGACTTAATGAAGGCAGTGGACGTTTTGTAATTGATTTCAGTGGGGCAGTGGGAGAAAGGGGAAGTGAGAGGAAAGGTAGGAAGGGTTGGAATGATGGAAAGAAATGAGACAAAGAAAAAGCAAACAGGAAAAAATACAAAAGTAACAAAATTGGTGGAAAATTGGGCATTTGGTGGGAAATTGGGTTTTACACTAAGTAACATTTGTCATAGAAACCATCTGCTTTCCTCAGTTTTTCTTGGTAAACTGAAAACCAAAAATTGGGAGGGAGGAATATGAGAGAGGGATTTTATCAAAATGTTTCCTTTTTTGGCAGTTCTTGGCCACAAGAGAGCACTCTTAGAAGGTTAAGCACCACATCTCTCATCTCAGTTGTCAACAGAAACAGAACCCACAATTTCCTGGTCAAAAAGGATGGGCTGCTATGGCTTAAGATTTTTAAAAGGTAGCTAGCTGCCTAAAATGCAGATAGGTGCCTAGGGCATCTAGGCAGCTAATTCCTATTGATTTCAAGGCACTTTATAATATCGCCACTGAGCACCTATCTGCATCTTTAGGTGCTCAAGACACTTTTAAAAATCTAGCACTAGGCCCCCTAGGACAGGATATTAAGCAGACTGAGTTCCTTGTTGACCAAGCACAGAAGAGGTCACAATGCATGCTAAGCAATGATTAACTTAAGAACCTCATTAGCATGCTGAGGATCACCATTCTGTGCCTAGGGCCCATTCCTGCCTTCTACAGGGTATGGGACAAGAGATTTGAATTTTGTATCTCTTCATTGTTGAAAAATATGTGTATTGCACATCCTCACTTGAGTCCATACCTCGTCCATACCTGGCAATAAAACAAAACAGCCTTGCATTCCTTACCTATCTATCTTAGGGCTTGTCTCCACTATGCCAGCAATCGATCCACCGACCATCGATTTATCATGTCTGTTTAGACACGATAAATCGATCTCTGGGCACCATCCGGTCAATGCAGCAGGATGAGGGGAGTAACCAGCATCACTGAGAGAGCAGCCCCCACTGACCTTACCACACACAAGATGACGCAATAAGTACATCAACTTCAGCTATGTTATTGGTGTCGCTGAAGTCACATAGATTAGATCGATGGTGCGGGTTGGTATAGACAAAGCCTTATTAGTCTTTTCTAGAGCATGGATAGGTATGTCCCTGAAGTCCACCTCCAGTTACCTGCCGGCTCAAAGCCATGATTCATTACAGAGGTTCAATAAACCCTGTTGGCTAAAGAGTACGGAATCCTTTTATTTTCTATAGGCAGCATGTCTATTATAAATAGCCTTGCTTCCCCATTTGTCTTTCATCTCTATGTCCCCCATGACACCCAGTCCAGCCCTCTCGCCTGCTGTGATGTTACAAGGCAATCCATCAGTAACAAACTGTCTGTAGGGCTTTATTAGCAGAGGGAGAAGAGGGGATGGAGAGCAGAACATTAGCAATGGCCGTGCCCACAGAGGCTTTCACAGGCACCAGCTTTGTCGCTTCATGACAATTTCAAGGAACTGAAGCAATAAAACAAAGATCAAATAGGCACTTCCGCTGTAGTGAACTTAGGTTCAGATGGGACCAGTCTTATAACTCCCATATTGTGCTGAGTGCTCAGTGCACCGCTCTGCAGCAACAGGGAGAAATTAAACTAAGCAAAAGCAGTTAAAGGGGGATAAAAACCACCAGAGTGATAATGCATCATGGAAAGCTGTCACAATAAATGAAAGTACTGGAGCAATTAACAGGCACAGTACTAAGCACTGTGCCATTCTTTCCCCCCTCCCCCTTCGTTTTAATTGTACTCCATCTTAGTCAGATGCTACACTCAAAATGTACTCTGTTGAATACAGCAGAATTGACACATTTAGAAGTGCACAATGGTCTAACAGTTAACTTCTACCTTCCTGACAGCGTAAGAAATAGGATCTTGAGAGCAGAAATCTGAAGGAGGAAAAAACCTGGGAGTGGTGCTGGTTTGCAAAATCAGACTGGAAAGGTTTTGGTTTCATGGGGTTTAGACACTCATAAAAATCTGCAAAGCCACCACATTGTTTTCCTTCCAACCCCTCCTTAAAGCTCACCAAGATGCCTACAAAAACATGGCCATAGAGTGTGCTAAGACCACTGCTTATCACAGCCATCTCATTGCTACCTTGTGAGTCCAATGTCGTTGCTATAGTCACCTTGTATTTGGAGTGGGAGATCTTTGCAGCAGGGGCCATCTCTGTGTTATTTGTTTGTACAGCACCTAGCACAAAGGGGCCGGGACCTGTAGGTTCCACTGTGGCAACACTGCCCTGAATCTCTGCATGGCCCTCTCACTCCCAGTCCCTCCCTGATCACATCCTCTACCCCTTGCAAAGGGGTCCTTAACTTCCTGAGTGCCTAAACCAGGTCTATCTATGCTCCACCAAGCAAACTTGGGGCTTATATAGCCCCTTTATACCATCATGCCCCTTTACTGGATTTGACGGGGTGTAAAGCTCCAATGTGGTAAGATAGGCCATTAGTAAAAGAGGGTTCTTTCGTACACCAATTCTGTTATGGCCAGTGTAGACTCCTCCTAATCAGAGGGTTTATTCTGCACCTACCCACTTTGGAGATGTCAACCCTTCTACTGTGTGTGGCATTACTTCTATTACACACAATAAGTAGCAAAGCGACTGCTATGTTTCTGAACTGCCATGTTAGCCCACAAGAAGCACTCTAGTCCAGTTAAAAGGGATGTTCAGAGTCTTCTCATTGTTAGCAAATGCTATTTGCAAATGAAAATATGGGGGCCAGCCTGTAGCCAGTAGTTCAGCTTGGGGGAGCAGATTCTATGACAAAATTTGTGTCTCCTGGAGCCACACAGTCATCAGTATAGAGGAACTCAGGCCACTTCCTAACACAAGCCCCTCCTCACCCCGCCCGACCTGACACTAACAGGTGAATTACATAGAATCAGAGAATATTAGAATGGGAAGGGACTTCAAGAGGTCATCAAGTCCAGTCCTCTGCACTCACAGCAGGACCAAGCACCATCTAGTCCATCCCTGACAGGTGTCTGTCTAACCTGCTCTTAAATATCTCCAATGATGGAGATTCCACAACCTCCCTAGGCAATTTATCCCAGTGCTTAACCACCCTGACAGTTGGGAAGTTTTTCCTAATGTCCAACTTAAACCTCCCATGCTGCAATTTAAGCCCATTGCTTCATGCATCTTTAAGAAAATAGTGCTGTTCTCTGTCTCCAAGACAGACATTTTTCCACCGTCAGGGAAGCCAGGGCATTGGCTAAAAGAAAGCTGCACTTTCTTCATGGGTCACTCTTGCTCCATGAGAAAATCACCACACAGCACACACCTCCCTTCTATGACATGATTTACAAATGCAGCATGTAATGTTTTAGCATATCCTTCTTGTTGCCCTCTTCTCCCCCTCCCCTCAGGCAGTCTGATGAATACTCCTCATAAGCGAGCAGCGTCTGTGCTGAGCGAGGCTGGGATGCGTTGCCACATGCTGTCTGCCTTCATTAATCATTATCATCCTGCTGCTTCGGTCCCTAGGAAGTCTTGTGGGCTTCATAAATAAATTACTTCATGTAATTCGGTCTCTCTAAAAACAAACTTCAAATGCGCCACACACACACAAACCCACCAAAATACAAAAACACACATTAGATTATGGGCCTGTAAAATAGAATTGTGGCAAAGGCTTGTTCCCTCTGGGCAACCAACAGCTGCTCCAAGCCCAGGCTGGCTAGTTTACTCCTCTGTATGCCTGCTGGGCTCAGTCTTCAGTGCAAGTCTGAATATTCTCGATAGACTCACAATGCACAGATGACCAAACAACCTTTTGACAATGTTCGCTCTGAACATTTGGGGGCAATTATTTATTATTATTACTACCTGTATGTGCAAGCCTAAGGCTGCCTTGTCTGTCAGAATGAAAGTGATTGAGAGACCTGAACATAAAATTGTAGTCTGGGTATGCTCCTCTGAAGTGGTGCTGCAAGATACTTGGTGTATCATTAGATTGGACCCTGTAAGGATTTGGGGGAGAGTATTTCTTCTTCTTTATCGTCCTGTTTTAAAGAGTTCTCACTCTCAGAAACATTCACAAGTCTCAGAGGGGTAACAGTGTAAGCCTACATCTGGAAAAATGAGTTGTCCTGTAGCACCTTAAAGACTAAGGCCTGGTCTAGACCAGACCAGGAAGTATGCAAAATAAGATACGCAACGTAAAATACGTAGCTGGAATCAGCTTACCTTACTCTGAGCCTTACTGATTTCCACATGGCAAGAGGCTGAAGGAAGCAAACGCTCACATCAGCTTCCTTTATTCTTCACAAAAGGAGGAGTACTGGATGCCTGTGGAGGAGACCATGCCACTGTTGTTCCTGTTAAATGTAAGACTGTAAAATTTGGCCTTTACATTTTACAAACAGCTGACATTTTCTCAATGAAAAAAAAATGACATTTTTGAGCAAACTAAAATTGTAATTTTAGTTAAAAATTTGTATTTTCATTTTAAAAAACTTTTTAATGAAGCAAACTTTTCTGGAAAAATCAGTTTTTTTAATTTATTTTCATATTTGAAAACAACATATTTTTCAAATCAGGAAAATGTTCTGGTATTGAATTAGTTTCTTTCACTCATGTTAGCCAAAAAACTGAAAAATATTTGCAGAAATTTTTTTAAAAATTCAACATTTCCCATGAAAACGAATTACCATTTTTGACCAGCTCTGCACACTAGTTGTTATGAACACTGAGGTCTCTACACACAACACTTTGTTTTGCATCCCATTTTTACAGGTTTTGATGCCCTGTCTTAACATAAGTTTTTTCTTCTGCGAGATTTTGCATCAAGTTTTCAAACCAGATTCTTATATTTTATGCACACTTTACATACAACAGATTAGAGTACGGAGCCTTACTTTTGCTTGAGACAAAATGCACATACTTCTGTGCAATCTGGCATGTAAGCAGGGCTCACAAAATCAGATGCCACAGCTGAAAATTTGTTACCAAATCTACAAAGCAACCTCATTTTGGCTTTAATTTGCGCATGGAAATGGGGTTAAAAGACATATATTGTTGCTTGTATCTGGTCTAGATACAAAAAACAAAAACAAAAAACCAAATGCCCTGCAAATGCAAAGTTGCTGAAGCACAAACAGGAGCCACATACACAAACAAGGGCCCTTTCCATTTTTCACTAGACAGAGCAGGGGAAAAACAGAGTATGAGAATGGGACAGTACTTACGAAGCACACATCAGGGAACTGTTTTGGAGAAAATTGGAATCTGAGATAATAAGAGTGACATTTTTATGAGTCCTGAACAAAAATTACAATTAAAATAGTATGTTTACGTACCTTTTAAACCAAGAATTTCTAAATTTTATATCCTGTCTTGCTCTCTTCCTCTTTGCCTATTTGTTTTAGCACATCATGTAGGCAGAAATGGAACAATGACAGATAATTTGACTGCATCTGGATTTCTTCCCAGCTCCAGTTATTACCTAAAAACATCTGTAAGGGAACTTGAGATGAAATTTCCTTAGTCCAGGGTGAGGTTGGCATTAAATTGGAGTCCCTGCTGGAATCGCATAGCCCCTAATGATATAGTATGAAATGTGACCGAGGAATAGCAGGAAAAGCCATGGACAAACATGCATACCAGAAACCGGAGAGACAATACAGTTTATTTACACAGAGCATTCTTCCTCAGACACCGTATCACACAATGTTGTTCTGTGAATTAAAATGAAAAAAAGAGTTTAAAGTGACATTTGCAGAGAGGAAATGTTTCCCTAAGAATGGGGAGTAAGAGAAAAGACAGAAGTCCAATGGCAGAGGTAAACACAAGTGGCAGTGCTATCTCCTGCCATTTTGGATAGCAATTTGTCGAGGCCCAAGACTGGAGGAGGAGCCTGAGTGGGCAAGGAAAGAAAAGGCTTAAGGTCCAAGAAGTGGTGAGGCTGGGTGTGTTTGGAAAGCAAATAATGTAATTTTAAGCTGAACATGATGTGAATGGCTAGATGGCCAGGAAAGGAGGATGGGAGGGATATGGATGGGCTTCCTGCAATGAGAGCAGTCTAGCTACAGCATGTTGGGAGCTCTAGAGCTCAGAGCACACATAGGACGAATCTGGGTAAGTCAAGACTAGTTGCACTTTCTCTCAATCATAGACTCATAGACTTTAAGGTCAGAAGGGACCATTATGATCATCTAGTCTGATCCCCTGCACAGTGCAGGCCACAGAATCTCACCCACCCCTCCCAGAATAATCCTCTCACTTATATCTCAGATATTGAAGCCTTCAAATACTTTGAAGACCCCAAGATGCAGAGAATCCTCTAGCTGTGGTCTGTACCCCATGCTACAGAGGAAGGCGAAAAACCTCCAGGGCCTCTGCCAATCTACCCTGGAGGAAAATTCCTTCCCGACCCCAAATATGGTGATCAGCTAAACCCTGAGCATGTGGGCAAGACTCATCAGCCAGACACCCAGAAAGTTCTCTATAGTAACTCCTATCATCCCTCCATTGACCTATTCCCACTGATAATGAATGGACAATTAGTTGCCAAGATCATGTTATCTCATCAAACCATCCCCTTCATAAACCCATCTAGTTTAATCTTGAAACCAGAAAGCACTCTGTGTGCGATCCTGCCCTATTTACACCATGGGAAATCTGGAGAAGGCAGAGTGCAGTTCAACTAGATTTACACTCATATTATGGAGGTCAGAATCTGGCCCACCCTTTTAATTTTTGGGCAGCAATATTCCTGAGTGTTATAATCCCAAGTATTGTTGAAAGGTCACATGAAAAGACACTGTTTTTTCCTAACCCTTGAATGTCCTCCTCTCATCTTCAGTTCTCACCCGAGAGAAGGAAATGAAGCCATTGGGGGAGAGCTGCTTTGTTTCCTTAAATCTTTTTCTAGCAAACATGTAAGAAGCTATTTCCTTTATTTTACAATTGTTGGTCTCGATCCTTAAAACACTAATGTATATGCTTAACTTCAGGTATGAACATAATCTCACTATTCAACTACTCCTGTACAAAGTTAAGCAGATGCCTACATGTTTGCAGGCTTTGGGGGCCAAGGAAAACTGATTGAAACAATTATAAAAAGAAAGACTGAAGCCTCATCTCTAATGCAATAATGTGCTCTTAGACCCAGAAACAGAGATCCTTGCTGAATAGGCAGGAATATTAAATAATCCTAAAATGTATTTCAAGATAATTAAGAGACTAGGAAGTTAGAACAAATGCTGCATTTTTCCTAAATCTGTTTTAGTTTAATCCCCACATTGCTAAACTAGCTCAGTATGAAATGCAAGACAAGGCTCACAACCCACAGTATTCAGGATTGATTTCAAAGCTTATTTATTCAAAACAAGTTTTGAAAGTTGAATGGAGCCTTTGCAAATTCTTCCCTCAGATTCCTGTTGGGCAGAACAATGCTGGAAAAAATACCACTAATATGTCATCCAAAGTCCTTCATTCTCTTGGCATGTAATCATCAAGGACAAAGAAGTATTAGTTCTCAGTGCTAACTGCTTAGGTCTTAATGTGACCGACACAACTTTTTGCCCTTGAATAACACTATTTTTTTTATTAGTAGTAGTTACATATCAGCACAAAACATCAGAAACCAACAAAGAAGCAATGAAGGAACATTTCAAGAAGTGAATAAAGGGCTATTCAGAGCAGAGATTGTTTTCAGGCTGGCCTGTGCAGAGAGCCTTGTGGGTGTCCATCTTGTGTTAGTAACATGAATGGTTCACAGATAGCCTGATTCAGTGGTGAAATGTCAGCCCTGTTAATTACATAGGGAAAAATACTAAGGTCCTGACTCAGCTTTTATTCAAGAAAAATTCCCATAAAGACCGGCGTTGATGGTTGTTAAAGCACTGGGATTAGACTCAGGAAATCTGGGTTTAAGTGGCTGTCACAGAATTCTTGGGTGAATTTAGGTAAGTTGCTTTGGCCAAACTGCACAGAAATACTTGGTGGCTATGTCCCTGTTTTAGGCATCATAGGGTATGTCTACACTAGCCCCCTAGTTCGAATTAGGGAGGCTAATGAGAGCGACCGAAATTTCAAATGAAGCATGGGATTTAAATATCCTACGCTTCAATAGCAGTTCCTGGGAAGTCGCCATTTTGGAAACTGACTAGCCCGAAATAACTGCCCGCGTCTACACGCAGCAGTGAAACGGGAGTTCGAAGTAACCCCTTAACTCGAATTAGCTGGTAAACCTCACTCCAGGAGGAGTAACAGTTAATTCGAGTTAAGGGGTTTCTTCGAACTCCCGTTTCACTGCCGCATGTAGACGTGGACAGTTACTCCGGGCTAGTCAATTTCCAAAATGGTGACCACCCGGGAACATGCTAATGAAGTGCGGGATATTTAAATCTCACACTTCATTTGCAATTTCGGTCACCCTCATTAGCCTCCCTAGTTCGAACTAGGGGGCTAGTGTAGACATACCCTAAGATCCAGCATCAGGACCACTGTGATGCAAAAAGCTCCCCCAATCCCTGTAGGCACCTAAACTCACTCAGCTCCTAACAGGGGACCTGACAGAACTGCCAGATCCCTAGGAAAGGTGGGGAGTGACTCCGCAGTCCTTCCACAGGAGGGACTGAGGGAGCCCACATCATCCATTTGCCAGTGGTTAGGGCAGTCAGCTGAGGAGTGGCAGGTCCCTATTCAAATCCCTTTTCCCCTCCAGGCAGAGAAAGGATTGAATTGAAGATTTCCCACATCACCGGTGAGTGCCCTAACCGGTAGGCGAGAAGTTATGAAGAAGGAGGTGGCTTCCTGGTAAAAGTCCTGAAGGACTTTGGATGACTTATTCGTGGTATTTTTTCCAGCATTGTTCTACCCAACAGGAATCTGAGGGAAGAACTTGCAATGGCTCCATTCAACTTTCAAAACTTGTGCAGAGGCGTCTAACTCCACAGGAGGTTTCACAGTTGAGAATTGCTTACAGAGCTAGGCACCTCCCTGCAGCCTGGATTTAGGCACCCATCACTGTGAGAAGAGTAGGGATGAGCACAGACCCATCTGGCTGGCATCTCACATTGGCTAGCTTTGGGGGGGAGCAGAGGGTGACAGGCTTCCTGGACCCCTGGGTAAAGTGTGGGGGTTTCTGTCCACACCTGTGCTCCCAGAAGAGGCAGGGCCGTGGGTGGATGGGGTGGGGCTGGGGCAGCCAACCCTTGGCACTACCTGGAGCATTCCACAGCCCTTCCCCCCAGCCCTCAGAGCCACCCAGAGAGTGCTGTGCCAAAAGCTATTTAAAGGATCCAGGGCTCCAGCTGCTGCCACTCCTGCAGTTGCAGCAGTGGCAGCCAAGAGCCCCAGGCCCTTTTGAATCACCAGGCCGCAGGGCAACTGAGCTCTTTGCCCCCTTCCCCATCAGCAGCCCTGGCTAGCTTAGGAGGCCCAGCAGCCTAGCTCCGACTTTGGTGAATCACCTGCATAGGCATCTTTTCCCATTCACTCTAACGGTCGTACAAGTGTCTAATTCACTTCACAGTGACCATCTAGAGGCCTAAAAGACCATCTAGAGGTAGGTGTAGTGATGCTCAGTGTTACAACGCCAGATTCCTTTCATACATCCAGACCTTGACTTCTCTGTGCCTCAGTCCCCTGCGCCCACAGGGGGATAATAATGCTTCCTCTTTCACATCCATGGTCTGTCTCGTCTATTTAGATTAAGCTCGTGGGGGCAGGGACTGACTCTGGTCATGCATTTGTACAGCAGCTAGGAAAAAGAGGCCTGGATCTCCACTTAGGCTCCGAGGTGCCATAATAAAAGTAATAAAGAACAACATGAATGAGGAAGTCATTCACATGGGATATTGGAACTGATATAGGGTCTTAACACAATCATTAACTTTTACAATTCATCTTTGCCCCCTTCCCCTCTCCCCAGTTCATATTGGACCCTGCAAAGGGCTGATCAGCCCCTGGAAGTGTAGCGTATACTCCTCTTCCAGTGGCTTTCATGAGAATTCCTGATTCTCATTTCTCAGGGGGTTGCTCCGCACTTCACTGACTCAAGCCCAACATTAACAGAAACCCCAGCTGGCATAAGGAGCGAAGCAACTATCTCCAGTGTAATAGCTCCGCTGTTAACATGGGCAACATGCCCGGAGGCTCTTGCACATCAGTGGATGGGACTGAAGCATCATAAGTTCTCAGCCCTCGTGAAGATCTTCTCCTTGAGCCTCCTTAGCATTGCCTCAGCATCCTCTGGTTAGCTGTGTAGGAGGGTGAGGAAATTCAATGGACACAAGGCCCCAACTCTGATCTGACCACCAACCTATGTAAATCAGGGGCCACTTGTCTGAAGTCATTGGAATTATTCTGCTGGAAAATTGGGAGAAGACTGGACTCAGGCCCCAAGTAATTATTAAAGAGAAGCCTTCCAAGTATCCCTCTTGTGTCCCCAGTTCTGCTCCCACACTTCTATAAACTGGTGAGACTACAGAGTTACTTACACTAAAGGAACAAATCCAAGAGTTTTTTACATTCCTTGTATGAATCATTTTTGTGTCAACCTGTGGAACTCCTTGCCAGAGGAGGCTGTGAAGGCTAGGACTATAATAGAGTTTAAAGAGAAGCTAGATAATTTCATGGAGGTTAGGTCCATAAAAGGCTATTAGCCAGGGGATAAAATGGTGTCCTTGGTCTCCGTCTGTCAGAGGCTGGAGAGGGATGGCAGGAGACAAATCGCT